TAACGTACAAGAGTGTGACCAGTAAGAATGCTGATCGGTCAAGGGCTTCCTTCAAGGCTGATAATGAGGTTCCCGAGATGTACTCCTTCACACGTGGTAGATGCCTGATAGTTTGTATGTGTGTCAGGTTTAGAGCATCTAATGCTGACTATTGGGACTCGGGTTGGTCACGAGGGCATCTATCTATGGCTGGGGCCCATAAAGATGACCAGAATGCTCAGAATGACACCTTCCTCTTGAGTGGCAATATCGTAAGAGGAGGTGTTATCAAAGGCTTACTCTGACATCATTCAGGTACCTCAAGACCTTAGTATGAACGGCTCGGATTGGCTTCGACTTGAGTGAGTTATCGGACCTGCTTTGTATCTTACGAGCAGCAACCTTAGATATTTGACATTGGACTTGGCAAGGGAGCATGGACCGGACTCTAATGATGTCGTTTATGTGGTCTCTGGTCCGTTGTGGATGGCAGACTCGCCTGATGAGAAGCTCACCAAGGAGATTGGTGCCAAACCCCATACTAAGGTACAGTCATACATCACTTCCGTTTGGAGTGGTATCATGATGGTTATCGACCGTGTTAGGTCCTCAACGATGGTAGTAATGGTAAGCCGAAGCGTTATGTTGTAAAGTATGAGGTCATTGGTGACAATGAACTGGCCGTCCCCACCCACATGTTCAAGGTTGTTTATGACACCAAGACTAACTCTTCAGCGGCATTCATCATGCCGAACACGGCCATTAGATATGAGAAAAACCTAAAGCAATATCAAGTGCCAATCGAGAGGGTAGAGAAAGCTACTGGACTTGACTTGTCTGCTATGAAGAAGGGCACCGATCTGTGCGGTCCTGAAAGCCGTTGTGTTATGAAGGGTGGTAGACGGATAAATTCGTGGAGGATCTACGGCAGCATTCGGGCAAGTGCCAAAGAGAAGGAGACTTTCGTGAGGAGGGTCAAGCGAGCGATAAATCATAATTATCTGACTGATGATAACTTCCTTTTGACGAAGATGATTAGGGAGGAGATGGTTGCCCACCAAGGTGTCACCGACCCGGTGGAGTTACTCGGACCAGGAGAATATGCTGATAAACTACAGGAGGCTTTCGATAGACTAGACGCTCGAGATGCCGAGAGGAAGAAGAAGACTATGAAGGAGTCTGCTTAATTTCCTACACTTGTTGAGGTGTGGTTCTGTTCCTCTCATTAGCA